TTATCTCCAGGACAGAGAGAAGGGATTGTAATGCATTGTGGGATTGTAAGCTTGTGATTGGTCAATATCCAATATGTTTCCCAGTCTTCCATTTGGTCCCCTAGGGGAGTGTCCACCAGGTGGGAGACCTGAATAAAAGCCGGGCAGGTAGCCCCAATAAATCAGTTCTGATTGACCCTCAAACGAAGTGTCATCTCGTTCTTGGGGGAAATTGGATTGTATGCTGTTACAGTGTGACTGCCAGGAGTGTAAACTGTTCGTATGGTTTTTCCTGTTCGGCTGTTTAACAGCATTCATGTGTTCAGGAGTTGGTGAATTTGTGTGTTTCCTGTTTGTGAGTTGGAGGATTCGTATGGTTCCAGTTCAAGAGTTGGAGAATTCGTTTGTTTGCAGTTCGGGAGATTGGTAATTGCAGTAGCTGCCTGTGCATCTGAAAGGGTAATATCGCCTAAACGGTTTTTAACCTCTTGTGTGCAAAACAATCGGTTACAATTTGTTTAATGGATAATTTACAAATTTCATATTTCAAAAATACAATCTCCTGCCGCAATATAGAGAACTGTGTACAGATTAGACAGCATCCAATTCCCTAAAAAGTGGAATGTGAAACAAATGCAAACCAACTATTACACTGAACTAAGTTTGCCATTTTAATGAGGTGAGTAATTTAAATCAAACAAATCTAAATGTTTTTTTTTGTCCTCGCTTATACCTTAGCTTACCTCCTGTTTATCTCTAGAATATCTCCAAGCACACACTTTGAAGAAGCAACCAAGCTATATTAGCTAAGCTACTGTGCACAACCCTTATATAACTCCTAAAAGCACCACCCACTAGAATAGTTTAACACCTGTATGGGCATAGCAAATCAAATGCTTTTCCAATTACCAACAGAAAATCAAACCTTGTGCAATCAGTAAACTTTTCCTATAGAGGAATCTTACCTGTAACAGTAAAAAGAAAAATCTTAGACAGTTGAAGAATCAGTAAAACTCTCTAGAATATCTCGAAACAAACCCTTTGAAGCAGAACTTTGAAGCAGCAACCAAGCTATATTAGCCAAGCTAATAACCACAACCCTTATATAACTCCTAAAAGCACCATCCTCTAGAAATGTTTAACACCTGGATGGGCATATGCTTATTTGCAAACTGTGATGGACTGCCTGGCAACCTGACCGGGTGCCTCCATCAGTCGATGCTCCTAGTGTTTACCGAAGGCTCCAAGCACTCCACCAAACACCATAAGCACTGTAGTCCCCATGTTCAGCACTACAACTTGGCGGGGAACTCGCCGTTCTCCACCCACCCTGGGCCCAAGACCAGGATCCAGCTTCCAGTGGGTGAACCTCTCCTACTCCAGAGAGCGTAGCAGGAACAGCTCTTACAATGAGCTAGTGATTATAATCCCAGGGGAGTATAGTGATATAGCAATCCCCAGGGTAGATACAGCCCTTTCCACCACACTTGAGAAGAGACTCTATGTTGAGGGTAAGCAGGAACTCAATTTTAATGAAGGCACACTGGCCTTTTATGCAAGTTTCCCAACAAGGGTGACACCCACGTGGACCTTGTTGGGCACAGGGACACAAAGTTAACAAACCAATAAAAACAGAGTTATACAGTGAGACACTCCCATACAATATACACAATCCCTCCCCTCTGCCTTGGAGATAATTAAGGCAGATAATGCATTAACTTAATTATCTCCAGGCAGAAAAACTACATTTTTTTTATAAAGTCCCATAAGTACAACATATCCCCATAAATGTTACATCCCCTGATAGTCTTGATCTGGGTGAAAAACATATCCAAAAATCACCCAGATCAGATTAGGGGTTCAGAAATTTTATGGAAGTCATAGTTTTGCCCAGGCGCAGGCATGGTCCCATGCCCAAAACAGTTCCATAGAATCGCGGCTGAGTGCTGCTGGAGGACCATCCGGGAACCGCAAGGTTTTCATGCCAAAAATAGTTCCAGGGCATTCGCGGATAAGTCTCCCTGAAGTCTATTCGTTGTTTTGGTCCATGTGAACAAGATGGCCACCAACACATGTTTGAATGTCGAATGGCGGGCACTTTGACTGTTCGGGAGTTTGCAGTGCCACTTTGAAAGTTCGAACTGTGGCCAAGTTTTATAACAGGGTAGGAGGCTGCCAAGTATGCCCCTCCAAGAACGTGTTGCGAGGTTACTGTAATGCTAAACGAGTGGAACACAACTGCAGAACTTCAATTACTTCGATTATAATTTTATAATTTTATTGAATTGCAAACTTTGGTTACTGTAGCTTTAAACTCTTATGACAGGTTATTAGTTGCAGGAAGAAAATAAGCCACTGAAGTTTTGTATTAAGTCTACAATTCTAATTAAGGATAGTGCAGAGTTTGCATGCAGAATTTAGAGTTGAATTAAATGCAGCAGAAATAGCTTCCGAAGTTTGTATGCAGATTTAGTATTGAATTAAATGCAGCAGAAATAGCTTCCAGAGTTTGTATGCAGATTTAGTATTAATTGCAGAGGAAATAGTTTCAAGAGTGTTTAACAATGGTTAATTGCAACTGAGAAGTACTTAGCTTAATAGTAGTAGTCCCAGAGAACTGGGGAGATCAATTTAAGCAGTCTTTTAGGAGAGAGAGTAGAAGTCCATTAAACAGTCCGGGTCGAGGAGTGGAGAAGGCGGGTAGTCGTTCACAAAGCGGGTTCGGTACACGGAAAAGCTTATAATGTAATCGGGTAGCCGGTCAGAGATACACAGCAAACTTGTTCAATAATCCAGCGCTTTGAATCTGGAGCGGTCTTCCTATGTAGCGTGGGAAGACCGCGTCAGAGAAGGGGCGGGGCAAAGCGCTGTCAACCCTGAAGTGGCTTAATTCGGCGAAACCCGACAGGTCTAACCTGACAGTTACTTTCCAACAATCAATAGCAAACACCTTGCTAATCAAATTACCAATTACAACAGGAAATGAAACCTTGTGCAATCTGTAACCTTTTCCTATAGATGAATCTTACCTGTAACAGTAAAAAAAATTAAGAAAAATCTTACAGTTGCAGAATCAGTAAAACTCCCCAGAATATCTACAAGCACACACTTAGAAGCAGCAACCAAGCTATATGAGCATCATAGCATGTCAACAATGTTGGTTGCCAGGCCAAAGTACCATCTGTGAGTGCTCATAATGTACAAACATGGCCTGCACCCATAATTGGATTCAACTTTCATACTCAATTCAACTTTCCATGATTCCTATTGATATTAAATTGGTTAGTTAGATCAGTCCCACCCAAATTATTATTTTACAATCTTAGAAGTAGTACGTTTTTAATGACTAAATCTCCTGTCATTATTTTGGCAATAAGTAGACAGACTTTTCAAAATTGCTTGATCTAAAACTTTTTGAAAAAATGTGAAAGGAAGGCATCAACAGTTAACTTTTCATGCTGGTTTCAATGGTTTCCATGGCAATTGCCCCAACATGTAACACCATCTTATTGAACATCAAACTTTGACATATTTCCTCTATGATTCAAAATGATGTATGTAAATGGAGTCCAAATGTATACATCCAGTGGCTGTCTAGAAATAATTCTGTCAATTATAAAAAAAATAGAAAATATTTCATCTACTCTGTAGAATGAAATGTGACCTTTATTCCACATGTGAAATACACAGATTTAAATGTTTTATTCATAACCCATAAATAAGGAATATAGTGAGTAAACATTTGCATTGAGTGCAGGGTAGTAATTAAAATCTAGTCAGCACTTCTTGCTGAGAACAAAGAAAACAATATTGACAAATAGAGAACATATTTGCATATAATTATACCAGTAAGAAGTAATTATGTAAACTAAATATCCTTAGGAGTCAATCAGTTGAATGTGAATTTTAAAAGGCAATGTTCACAACAAGAGAGATTTAGAATTTAATTTTTTTTTAAACTTAGCTATATCTAAATCAGTATACAATTCTGATTTTATTATGGGGCACTCTTTCTATATTTGCCTTAGCTGAAAAGAAAATAAGAAAATGAAAAAAATCAATAAAAAATAAACATGAACATTTCAACCAACATAGTCACATAGCAACACTGTCTAACAATCAGTGATGTCCTTTGAAAGGTGGCACCTAAGTAACCACTTCCTCCCTGTGGTAAGTAGTACCTTGGTCCCATAGTTCTTAAATGGTGGAATCTATACTGTTGATATATTTGGTTTTACTGTTTTAGGCCTTCTTATATCAATTGATATTTAACTTATTATTTTATTGTTATTTTCTGTTATTATTTGTTTATGTAGGTTTTTATTGCCCTGTCTCTTTTGTCCCATGTTGATACTCTCTGCCTTTTTGAGCTGCAGCACAGTCTTATTATAAGTGAAGCTCTTTAAACTCTCTTATGTGCATTTTCTGAGCCTTTTCCCTACTGCTCTATTTCATAGGTCATTCGCCTTTTCAGAAGGCGCATGCATGCGCACTCCCTCATTCTCCATTCAACCATCCATCTTTTTGGTGGTTGTTAGCTTTTAATTTGGTACTACTAAATGCGCACACAGGTGCATTAACCGAAAGTTTACTTTGTCAGTCCATTTGTATTGAGCCGGTGACCATCTTCCCGGTTCCTGTTCAACCTTTGTGCCTAGTTTTTTTTGGAGTTTGTGCCATGTTTACTGTCTCTGCCCACAGACTGCCCTGCAATCTGAGTTGGTGATTGTTAGTTGTGGTGTTCTGACAGCTCTTTTTTCTGCTACCCTGTAAGTAATTGTGAGCCCTTTCCCCATTTTCTTCTGTACCTCCCCCCTTATTGTTTGGTGTTTTATTATTTTTAGTTAACTCCCTGTGGGTTATTCAACCCTTTGGTGTTTTAAAGTGGGGTTGGTGTCCTGACATTTAGTCTCCCTTCAGTTATTATTCCTTGCTGTTGTAAATAAAAACTGTGGGCTATTCAAACTCCTGTTGGATTACTATGCAGACTGATGAGGATCAACCTGTCCCTTCCCGACCTTATGGCTTCCGAGGATGAAGCTGATTTCCCAGACTCCAATGTGACCTCTCAAGAGACCACAATACCCCCTGCCTCTCAACTTATATGCCCAGGGCATAAAACCTTGGCAAAACTGAAGCACTCCTCCAAAACCCCCAAGATGGACATCTTTACACCTGTCAATAATGGCACACAAATGGAACTACAGACCAAAAGAGCCAGTATGCAGGCAAAAGCGGAAACAGGTAAAAGTCAAAGTTAATTCATCTGAGTCAGATCTCAGTGATGAGGAGGAATATGCACAGGAGTCCAATTTGAACCTGTCTGACAGCCTATCTGAGGCTGAGTGTGCGATAGGAGAAGGGCAGTACTACTACAGACCTGGCAGTGGAGGTGAGTTGCTTGTTATCGGCCAATAAAGGTAAGATACTGCATCTGCAAGGTGAACCCCTATTTGATCCTGATGACTTACGTCATCCAAGGTCAACCAAATGGTCACCTACTGAGCATGTGGGTCTGCAAACCACTAGCAAAAGTAACCCAGAATAAGTTGTGGGTGGAACTCCCACGCTTCATGGCTCCTGATAACGTGTATATGATACCCTTAAGATTGTGAAGTTCCTGAGCAAGACAGGTTGGGCCAAGAAAGGCTTCATCCTTTCCTTACATAATTGCCAAGATAAAATCCTGGACATCTTGGGTCCAGCAACCAATATTTTTAAGACCCTATGTTAGACTATTAACCTCTAGAGGTTTTATACAGAGATTACTTTGCCTGATTGGCAATGCAAACCCCCTGGTAGTCACAGAGCACCGCAAATCAATTTTGCAAAACAAATGACCGAAATTGGTTAACCTGACACTCACTAAACTGAGCACTCTGGCTAAGGGCTTACTTTTCGGTAATTCCTTTGCTAAAGACCTAGGTTCATACTTACATACTTTCATGGTCTTATACAGAGCATAAGCTAATATGAAATAGGTGCACCACCCTAAAATTTGTTTTAGGACGAGAAGAGCAGATGTCTAGAGGACCTCAATGCCAGAACCAAGGTTCCTATTCTGGAAGGCTTTCCAACACTGAGCAGATTTCCATACCATTTCCTATGTTCGGTCAATTATTACCTCAGATGTTTGGGTTCTCCATGCTGTCAATGGTTTTCTGATTTTGTGTTACTTCTACCTGGTTGTCCCACCAGGGAGGTTGTTTTTTCACAACAAGATCCTCATCTCCAAGGAGATACACAAGTTGGCACACAAAGGAGCCAATCTTGACTTTATGATGCATGCTAAGTGTTTTGTTAGAAACCTTGTTTCTAGTCCCCTAGACAGGAGATGGAGTCTGTCTCCAGTGATCAATCTGAAGCAGATCTTATCTGATCTACAGGAAGGTATTCACTGCCTGAGATATTTACTCCAGCCATCAGACTCGATGGCCAAGCCAGACCTCTGAGACATATATCTCATGGTGCCTATCATGGACATTCATTAAGATTTCCTAAAGTTTACATGGCAAAGCCAGATATGGCACTTCCGATACTTTTCCATTCAGTCTTGCTTCACCAAGCTCATGAAATTAGTAGTCACCCTCCTGTGAAGTTGTGGGATACATCTCATCATTTATCTAGACGATAACCTAATTCTATCTCAGTCTGTTCCAATGCTCAGTACTCATCTTGATTGGACCATGACCTTACTGCAGAATCTCGGTTTCATAGGTTGAGAATAATCCATTCTTATTCCTACTCAACAAATCAAATTTCTTTGTCTTATCGTGTACTCCACTTAATAGACTTTGCACCACCCGGTGACAAAACTAGCAAGCATCAAAAAGCAAATCAGACACATGCTTGCTGCCACCCATCTTTCCCTGCTTTCTATTCAATTTTTGGTTACCTAACTGATGTTGGACATCCTCATGCTCTGTATGAGGACAACCAGCTTCAGTCAAATCCCCGTAGGAAAACATTGAAGCAATGCTTTCCTACAGGGAAGGCCTAAGGCACTTGTGGCGCTCGCCACCCGTTAGCATTAGCCCTCCCCCATTGGGTGATGGAGGAAGTGGAGCACCAACCCAGTACCAAGGGCAGGGCCGGATTAACATAGGGGCTAATGGAGCTGTAGCTCCAGTCCCATGCCCATGTAATAGGCCCTTTGATTTAAAGTATATGTATATTTTTTTTAACCACTTTTCATATGTTCTTGCTTAAGTATGGAAACTTAAGAGGGATGTAGGTGAACAAAACTTTTGTGGGCTAGCTGACCTGACAATGAAATTAGTTATGGTAAAGCTGACTTTGCACACTAGGCAAATACTTTTGCTGCTTCGCTCTCTGTGGCATGTTCACTTTCTTCTACATTCACTACATACAACTTTTCTCTGTCCCAGACTGTGTAATAGGAACTTCTGACTGCTAGTAAGGAGGTGAGTGGACAAGTGAGTGCTAGGGGAAAGTCCTTAGAAAGCTTGGATTGAGCACATCATTAGACACATTTATGCCATGCTCAGGGTGATGTCTTCATGAGGGCCAGACTGGGAAAAACATTTGGCGCGGGCATTTTTTAGTCACATAAGTCCAGTGATTAGGGGGCAGGGCCAGAGAGGGGGTGTTTTGTCATCACCAATGACACGCACGCCCCTTCTGAAATTGAGCATGTTGATTCAATGCTCTTCCAGGGCAGCCCATGCACAGAGTCTTACTGAAGAGCTCTTGCATATTTGTTCTGCGCGGCGCAAGCAAATTTAATGATAAGCTTGTGCTGTGTGTGCTTGTGACTTGTCTCTGGTATCACCAGAAAGCATATTGTGCATGTGTTTGGAGGCTGCTTGTGGGATTGTGAGTGAGCTGATTGTGGTGTGGTGCTTTATGTAAATAGGTCGATTTCAGTTGTGTTGTATTTGTGGTGTAATATGTGTGGCTAGGAGCTGAAGAGAGTGAGAGAGTGTGTGTATAGGGGGCATAGTGAGTACAGAGGATGCATAGTATATGTATGTATAGGTGATGTGTATAGGTGTAGGGGCTATAGAGACTGTGTATTTAGGGAATGCAGTGTGTGTGTTTGTGTACAGTGTGTGCATAAGGAATCAAGAGTGAGTATAGGGTATTTAGTATGTGTGTAGAGGATCCAGAGTTAGTGATGTCGCGAACATAAAATTTTCGGTTCGCGAACAGCGAACGCGAACTTCCGCAAATGCAGGCCAGAAGTTCTATCGCAAATTGGGATAGCTCAGGCCACAGGTCAAGCCTGCACACCCAGTAGTCAAGGGGTTCATTGCTCCTCAGAGTATCGATATCTGCAGTTAAGGCGAGGTAGTCTGCTACCTGTCGGTTGAGTCGTTCTCTGAGGGTGGACCCCGAAGGGCTGTGGCGATGCGTAGGACTTAAAAAGCTCCGCATGTCCTCCATCAACAACACGTCTGTAAAGTGTCCTATGTTCCTCCTCCTCCTCAAAGCCACATTCCTCCTCTGACTCCTCTTCCTCACAATCCTCTTTCAGCATTGCCGCAGGTCCAGCAAGCGATGCTGATAAGGCTGTTTCTGGTTGTGATGGTGACCACAACTCTTCCTCTTCACGCTCATCTACGGCCTGATCCAGCATTCTTTGCAGGCTGTCCTAGCACCCTGGTCATACAAATACTCGTTAACGGCTTTTTCTTGTTGGAGCAGGCGGTCGAACATTAGGAGTGTTGAATTCCAACGTGTCGGGCTGTCGCAAATCAAGCGCCTCACTGGCATGTTTTTTCGCCACTGGATATCTAAAAATTGTGCCATGGCCGTGTAGGAACGCCTGAAATGGCCACACAACTTCCTGGCCTTCTTCAGGACGTCCTGTAAGCCTGTGTACTTATGCACAAAGCGTTGTACGATCAGATTACACACATGTGCCATGCACGGCACATGTGTCAACTTGCCCAAATGCAATGCCGCCAACAAATTTCGTCCGTTGTCACAAACCACGATCTCCAGTTGGTGCGGAGTCAGCCACTGATCCACCTGTGCGTTCAGGGCGGACAGGAGTGCTGGTCCGTTGTGACTCTCTGCTTTCAGGCAAGTCAACCCCAAGACGGCGTGACACTGCCGTATCCGCGATGTGGAATAGTACCTGGGGGGGTGCCGTTGATGTGGAGCAAGACGCAGCAGCAGAAGAGGACTCGGCCAAGGAGGTTATGGAAGAGGATGGAGTAGGAGGAGTAGAGGAGGTGGCAGCAGGCCTGCCTGCAAGTCGTGGCGGTGTCACCAACTCCTCTGCAGAGCCACCCATTCCATGCTTGGCAGCCGTCAGCAGGTTTACCCAATACGTAGTGTAGGTGATATACCTGCACTGACCATGCTTTGCAGACCAGGTATCAGTGGTCAGATGGACTCTTGCCCCAACACTGTGTGCCAGACATGCCAATACTTCCTTTTGCACAATCGAGTACAGGTTGGGGATTGCCTTTTGTGCAAAGAAATTTCGTCCGGGTACCGTCCACTGCGGTGTCCCAATAGCTACAAATTTTTTGAACGCCTCAGACTCCGCCAGCTTGTATGGTAAAAGCTGTCGGGCTAAGAGTTCAGTCAAGCTGGTGGGCTAAGAGTTCTGGTGGTGGCAACAGCATGCGTTGATTGTCGTGCTGTCTGGCTGACCCCGGGTGCCGATGCATGCTGTCTGATTGTGCCACTAGCTCCTTGCTTCTAACTCGTCTCCTCCTCCTCCTCTCTGTCACCCCATCTGAACTTTCCCCCTGTTCTTCTTCTCTTCTAGCGGGCACCCACGTGACATCCACGGACGCATTGTCATCATCAACCGCTTCACTTGTATCTGACAACTCAGCAAAGGAAGCAGCACCGGGTACAACATAATCATCATCACACCGTACGTCCATGTGTGTAATGCTGCCTGACTGAGACATATCCCTGTTATCTACATCCTCTGGCAATAATGGTTGTGCATCACTCATTTCTTCCAACTGATGTGTAAATAACTCCTCTGACATACCAAGTGAAGCTGCTGTGGTGCTAGTGTTGGTGTTGGCGGCAGGCGGGCGAGTGGTAACTTGAGAGGTGCCCGAAGCTAAGCTGGAGGAGGATGGTGCGTCAAGGTTCCGAGCGGAAGCTGTAGAAGATTGGGTGTCCTGTGTTAACCAGTCAACTATGTCCTCAGAACTTTTCGAGTTCAGGGTACGTGGCCTCTGAACACTGGGCTTTATTCTAGGGCCAAATGGAATCACAGCACCACAATCACGACGGCCCCTGCGAGGTGG